TAAGAAATGCTTAAATATTCATTTCGATTATAATTTATTTCGTGAATATCGAAATATTCATCTCTTCAGATCGAAAACTACTTAGTAAATGGAGATAATACACCGGGAAGATATATCAGATTGATAGTGGGAGGGAAAGCAAGAGAGAAAAGATGAGATAAGGGAGAGATGGAAAAGAAAGGAGTAAGGAAGTAATGGGTGGGTAATAGCAACCTTAAACCGGCATGGCCCTGCCAAGAATTTTTCTTTTAAGGTTTGAAACATTTTATATTGGTTTATAGCGCAAATTAACCGATATGATCTGTTGTTTTAGGCAGGACAAAGCAACTTAATTCCAAATTAGTTAGTCAAATGAAAGAATCCTTAATACAAATTATAAGTAGAGATTACAATAATAATACTTAAAAATTAAATTTGTCCAGAGCGAAATTTCTTAGTCAGTGTAGATAATATACTGGACTGAGATATTAGATTAAAAGAGGGAAGGCAAAGCAAGCGAGAAGATATGAGAGAAGGAGGAGAAGGCTCTTTTAAAATTTTGAGAGGGTGGGGTAATGAAAAGAAAGGGTTAAGGAAATAACGACTGAGTAGTAGTAAACAGTAACAGACTGACCCGGCCAAGTTATATTTTGGAACATTGTACATCGGGTTATACAGCAAATTGACCGATATGGCCCGTTGCTGGTGCTTCAATAACTTGGACATATTTTAAATGTGAATAAAATTTAAGCGTCTAATGATTTTTTTTTCTTTCAGATTTAACAGTTTAAGTCTTTGGCATTTTCAACCATGGAAAAATTAACAATCAAGCAGCGTGTTAAAGTTATCGAAGCCTATTACGACAGACGTTCAAATTTATGAATATATGACACAATGATTCCGTTGGCAAAAAATCCATACACCATTTTTTATAAATTAAAAATATGGTGCATGAATAATGATACAAAAGATGTTAGTTTAGAAATATAGGTGTGGTGCACATCGGCAAGACAGTCATAAATCCAAATATATATATATATATATATATATATATATATATATATATATATATATATATATATATAATGGACTCTCCCATCGGTTTCGACGTATGAGGACCTGACAGCTTAATTTATTCAGTTATAAAATTTTGTGCGATAATCTTAAGTGGCACTTAAGAACCGCTAGTGATTTACAAAGGAGGCCACATATGGAGCAAGAGTGAGGATTATGAGATGAGATCACTGTTAGATTGGCTGACATTTTGGATCTTGCTCTCTTTTCTTGATGATGATTCAGAGGCGCTCAAGGGTGTTATGTGATATATATTTAGCTATATATATATATATATATATATATATATATATATATACAACTATATATATATATATATATATATATATATAACTATGATATATATATATATATATATATATATATATATATATATATATATATATATAGTTTATGAAAAACTAGGTAATCCGTATGGGTAAACCTAAGGAGGATAAAATGCAGAGAGCTCAAGTAAATCCAGAGAGCTCAAGTAAATACAGAGCAAATAATTTAAATAAAAAACACACTATATATATATATATATATATATATATATATATATATATATATATATATATATATATATATATAATATACAGTGTATCACAAAAGTGAGTAGACCCCTCACATTTCTTCAAATATTTAAGTATATCTCTTCATGGGACAACACTGACAAAATGACACTTTGACACAATGAAAAGTCGCCTGTCTGCAGCATATATAACAGACTTAATTTATTTTTCCCTCAAAATGACTCAAAATATAGCCATTAAAAGCTAAATTCCTGGCAACAAAAGTGAGTACACCCCTTAGGAAAAGCTGTCAATATTGACATACAACATGTCAACTGTCAATATTTTGTGTGGCCACCATCATTATCCAAAACTGCCTTTACTCTCCTGGGCATGGAGTTTACCAGAGCTTCACAGGTAGTCACTGGAATGCTCTTCCACTCCTCAATGACGACGTCGGATATTTGGAGCTGGCGGATTCTTTGAGGACCCAAAGATGTTCTGCGCAGACATGCTCCACCATTACCCCCTCAGCCTCTTTAGTAAAGCAGTGGTTGTCTTGGATGTGTGTTTGGGGTCATTGTCATGCTGGAATACTGCTCTGCGACCCAGTTTCTGGAGGGAGGGGATCATGCTCTGCTGCAGTATTTCACAGTACATGTTGGAGTTCATGTTCCCTCACCTGGTCGCCGCCACACATGACCATTAAGGCCATCAGAACCAAACAAATTAAATTTCGTCTCATCAGACCATCAGGACATGGTTCCAATAATCTATGGGTTCCAGTAATTGTTGACATGTCTTCAGCAAATTGTTTGCAGGCTTTCTTGTGTATTGCCTTCAGAAGAGGCTTCCTCCTGGGGTGACAGCCATGCACACCAATTTGATGTAATGTGCGGCGTATGGTCTGAACACTAACAGGCTAAATCCCAATTTCTTTAATCTCTGCAGCAATGCTAACAGGACTCCTCCGCCGATCTTTCAAAGAAAGCATTTGGATGTGACGCTCAGCACGTGCGCTCAGCTTCTTTGGACGACCTACCCGAGGCCTGTTCTGAGTGGACCCTGCTCTTTTAAAATGCTGGATGATCTTAGCCACTGTGCTGCAGCTCAGTTTCAGGGTGTTAGCAATCTTCTTGTAGCCTTGGCCATTTTTATGTAGTGCAACAATACGTTTTTTAAGATCCTCAGAGAGTTCTTTTGCCATGTGGTGCCATGCATAGTTTACTGCACTAAAATTTGAATACACCTGGACATTTTGGGCAGGGAAAATGAAAAGCATGACACTTTGGAAAAAATCTAGACATTTAGACATTTTTTTAGGGGGTGTAGTTTCTTAGGGGTGTACTCACTTTTTGTTGCCAGGGATTTAGCTTTTAATGGCTATATATTGAGTTATTTTGAGGGGAAAAGAAATTAACTCTGTTATATATGCTGCAGACAGACTACTTTTCATTGTGTCAAAAGGTAATTTTTTCAGTGCTGTTCCATGAAGAGATATACTTAAATATTTGAAGAAATGTGATGGGTGTACTCACTTTTGTGATACACTGTATATATATTATATATGATTAATATATATATTATATATAATTAATATTAATATATATATATATATATATATATATATATATATATATATATATATATATATAAAATATGTGTGTTTGTGTTATGAGTACAAGTAATTATGTAAACGAAGTTCCTTCATGAATTTTAACTTCTTATTTAAATTTTAACAACAGTTTACTTGCGTTGTCTCCTAAAAATGATACACACGCACACGCATGTATATATATATATATATATATATATATATATATATATATATATATATATATATGATGGAGTCAAAGATGAGTTTGTACATACATGAAATATTTATTTGATATAATTCCTAATGGAAGTAAAGTTGTATTTGAACTTTTAGCAAATATTCGCTTAATATAATTCCTATGTTTAAATTCAATTTACACAGGCTGTGTATATTGATATAATAACAACAGTTCCAAAGAAAAGTACATATTTACAAACATCAAACACAGGATATGAATATGATCGAATTCGCACGCATTGATTTTTTGTTTTAATTGTTCGTTGCATCGGCCGGATTTTACAGTCGTTGGGCGGGGACATTTCTCCGTCAACACCTCTTCATTACTTTTTTTCTATATTTTTCTTTTTCTTTATACTTCATCTCATTGCATGTTTTAAGTTTGTAATTTTTTTTTTTTTTTTTGGTGGGGTGTATTTAGGAATTGTTAATTTTATATCAAAATACATTACCTGTGTAAAACTAAATTAAATTATAGTAATTACATTATATTAGATAAGTATTTTGCAAGTGCCTGTATTATTTTACTCTCAACTTTGCCCGTTGTTTTATAAACTGCCATCACAACAGAATGTCCATTTTTATCGCAGTTACACTAAGTTTGTTTTTTTGTTTTTTTTTTTAAATTTACCCCTGAAGATGATCTTGGAAAAAGGACCGAAAATACTTGGGTTAACAAAGACATCAAGAAACTGATTAGAGAAGGATTATTATAAAGATAGACATATGTCTATATTATTTAGTCACACACACACACGTATATATATATATATATATATATATATATATATATATATATATATATATATAAATAACAGAGGGAGATAGATAGATAGATAGATAGATAGATAGATAGATAGATACTAGCAGTAGAGCCAGGCGTTGCCCGGGGTGTAACAGTAAGAGATAGATCAAGTATCGACCATCATAAAGACTGAAAAATAAAATTGACAAAGATTATTGTTTAAGGTTGACAGACACGCATGTCTTGATAATTTTTTTTTTTTTTACGAATTGGTCAAACTCAAACTCAAACAAAAACATTGTTTTCAATCGTTATGAGTCTACCGATTGAATAGAATTTTATTATAAACAATTGTCTTGTAAATGGAATGGCGTTAAACAGATACATATGTTTAACAGAGTGAGATAGATAGATAGTTATGCAGAACAGAATAAAATAGATAGATTGAGAAATAGACAGAAGAGAGAGGGAAATATATATGTAGAACAAAGGGAGATAGATAGATAGATAGATAGATAGATAGATAGATAGATAGAACAAAGTTAAACAGATAGATATGTTTAACAGAGATAGATAGATAGATAGATAGATAGATAGATAGATAGATATGTAGAACAGAATAAAATAGATAGATAGATAAATAGACAGAAGACAGACTTTAAAAAGCAGGAGGTAAAAAAAAATATACGGGACAATGGTTTCGACCTGACGGTTTCCTCGGGCGATATTTTTAAAAAAGAGCACCTTAACGCAATCACAATGAACGCCACCTAATTATTTTTCAAATATAAATGTACAGCCGCATGACGATGGAAAAGCATGACATTGAGTATAATAGAAAGGAAGTGGGTAGAAGAAAGAGGGTAGAAGAAAGAAGGAGAAAAAAACGAAGGCTGAAGAAAAGAGAAGAAAGGAACGGGGATGCCAATGTATCGTAAATGTATACAATAAAGAAGAAGAAAAAAAAAAGAAGAAAAGCAAATAAGTAACTTCAATATAATGAAGGATAGGGAGGCGAGCTTATTTTAAGAATAGCAGTGGGGTTTGAAATTAGATTTTTTTATCCGGCCTCATATTCATTTAATGAAATTTTTAATACTAGTGTTTCCTGGTCTGATTCAACTCTGAGCATTAAACTTAATCAAAAAGAGGGCTCGATACCGATAACAGCGAGATAATCTCTTCTGGAACAAATGGAAAAAGGAAGTGACGTTTCACATACGGCTTGCCTATAAGCAGGATTGTTCATAATCATTTTCGATTCTCACCCGTCGAAGTGCAGTTGAAATGCACTGAAACGAAGTTGCATCTTTGTAGTAAGTAAAATAGTTTTGTCTATATGATAAAATTATAATAAGTATATATATATATATATATATGAGAGTAAATTATATATATATATGTTTATATATCAGAACAATTTTAGGCAAACGAATGACAAAGTGGAAAAATACTATGCAAAGCATTTTGTCCTCTTTTTCTGTTTTAAATAAGTTTATTTAAGCGCTATATTTTAGGATATACATGTTTGCGTAGACGCCCTGTTTTTCTTTTTAAATGAGAGGAGCTGATGAAGATATTCGAACTTTGAAATTTAAAATCAAGTTTAGAAAATATGATGATAGTTTTCTAATGGAAAGAAATAGACATAGAAAGATTATTTGGTACACACCCCATTTAATCATTTAGTTAGTACTAAGTTAGTCCATAAGTTCCTTCAATTGATTGATAAACATTTTCCAAAAAGTAACCCTCTTAGTATGATATTTAACAGAAACACATTAAAACTATGTTATAGCCGTACCAAAGATCTTGAGAAGATAATAAATCAACACAATAATAAAATTTTAAACCAATTTAATAATCTGAATCTTAAGTTCCAAGTAAAAATATTGTTAATGATACTGGCCAGTGTAATTGTAGGAATTCTGACCAATGCCCATTGCCAAACAAATGTTTAACTAAATGTCTTGTTGATCTTTGTACTATATCTACAATAGAGAATCCGAAGGTTGAAAAGTTCTATATTAGTAGTACTTAAAATTTTTCAAGAGTAGGTGGTATCAACATGTATTGTCATTTACTAATAATACTTATCGAAATAAAACATCACTTTCTAAATATTTTTGGAGATTGAATGATGAAAAAAAATCCTAAGGTGAAATGGGAAATTCTAAAAATGGCAAGGACATGTAGATCCTTATGTGAACCCAGTTTTTTGTGTTTACATGAAAAAATTGCAAATAATCAGGTTCTTTGAACACAGTCTACCTTTTACCTTACAATACAGTTAGACTTGGAATATGTCAATGATTTTTCTTAGAATTTAGTTGAACTGTGTTGCACCATAAATGGCTTATCTTTCTATTTGTAAAATTAATTTGGATTTAATATAATTTTGTCTTAATCTCTTGGTAGTATTAGTAACATCTTGTACGGATATATTATTTGGTAGGTATTTTTAACATTTTGCATTGATTGGTTATTGTTAACTTATATAAAGAATCTTTTGTCAAGAGTTGCATTTTAATTTACCAAGTAATTCTATACGTTTAAATTATTTACTGGTTTCTTAAAAAAGCTATTTATTTATCAACTGTAAAAACTCATATGGGAAAATCACAAAGCATATAACTTATTTAGCATTTTGTTAAATTACCACGCCATCTCATTTTTTTATTAAATTGTCCAGTACGGAAAATATGTATCCATTAACATCCGCTCCTGTTTAACGTTTGTGCTGCCACCAATCTACGGATCATGAATCATTTATGAAAAATAATTTCTTAATTTTTGGTTTTTCGCTTAGTTTAAATTTAATGTAGGTCATATTTGATTGGTTGATCTGAGTAAATCCCACAAACCTTATAACATCTATATTTTTTTTTCGTAAAGAGGTTGTATTTTCCTTTTAAAATAAATCGTTCACATGCCAGTAATTTAAAGTCGTCTGAGGAGATGCATTGATACGCATCGAAACATGACTGCAATTATGTAGCGATTTGACATTTTTTCGATGTAATATCCTAAAAATAATTGATACAGAATTTATCCATTTCACTATTTCAGTCAGACGAAAGGCACGAGTCGGTGGTTCCTTTCCACCCTCAACTAACCACCGTGTCAATTTTTCGACAGCTGTCAAATTTAAATTTCTAATTCCAACACGAACTCAGTCTGTACACCGGGGTTGAATAAGACTGACGTTGTTTTCGTCGGTTGAAATAGACCAAAACCCACCCAAATTTGAGATTTCTTCGTGTAATACTACATAATTGAATCAATATTTTCGTCCAAGTCCGTAAATACACAACAAATATTTGCCAATATGTTCGCACATAGATACCCCACCCCTGAATCTTTCGTTTAGCAGTTCGTCCTTGTTAGGGTATGTAGTCAGTCGAGTCAGTACTTTCTGAGCGACTGTTCGGTTGAACTCTCTTTCTTCGGACGGGAGGAACCCGAAGGAGGCTCTCTTTTGGGGAGGTAGACCGGCCCTGAACCCGTTTATACGGGTTCAATGAGCATATTTTTGGCGGAGCCCACGGGCTCGGAATGCCCACGTTAAAAAGGCCTTGTGCCACATGACACCCTCGTGGTGGGGTGACTGAATATCGTTAGGGTATGTAGCGATCGTCAATTATTCCTCTATGCATAGCTTACCATAGTCTCCTCGGACTCTGCCCGGCTTGTGGAAACTATAAGAAATGAAAATGGAAAGCCGTAACCCACAAACGGCCCAAACCTCCAAACTCCAAGACATCCCAATCGGAAAATCAAATCACTGCATCCCACATCACATACAAAGTTAAAGCTAAAAAAAAAAAAATTACTAATCATGTATCAAATCATTCACACGTTCTATCAGGCACCCGCCGTTCAAAGGACATTTATTACTTTACTTTGCTTCTGTTAAAACACTTTAGCTAGGGCAGAATTTCTATGGAAATGCTTATCTAACAGCTTAAAGAATAATATATATTCAATGAGACAATAAATGTTCAATGGACTTATCTCTTTAAGTGAATTCTGAGTTTCGGGCAAAACTGCTAATCAAGGTCAAATTGTCCGATATTTCTGAGCCAGATAAGCGGTATTACACGAAACCCCAGAATCCTTCAATGAGATAAGTTCCTTGAAAATTTAATAATTTATTGAGTTATTCAATATTGTCGTTTGAATTATGCATTGAGCTCTTGTTTGGCAATATGTCTGGTGGCTTTATTGTACAATATACTCTTGCAGATTATTTACGTACTTTAATAGTAGTCAGTGAGCACGCACACATGCCTACCAATATATATATATATATATATATATATATATATATATATATATATATATATTCGACTCTCCCCTCGAATTTGACATATGAGGGTCAAACCGACAGCCCGACAACAGCACATGGGATTTGATTATAGTGGTAAAGCTTTCGTGCAGGACCATCCACACTTCACTTTTTGAAGGGCCGAATACAGAGACCTGGTGCACTACGTGCCACAAGGTCCCCAAACGACCCTCCGCAGGTTTTGAATTCAGAGTTGTCCTTCTCCTAGACCAGTTGCCATCCAAGGCTATAGAACCCAGTCTGCCCTGCTATCTACCCATAGCTGAAGGGAGAAGAAGAGGATTCACACCTTTCCCATGGGTATTAGCACGTAAGTGAATGTAATGGATTCGACTGGAATTCGAACTTGGCTCTCCGATTCCTCAATCCAAGCGTGCCTTATTGAGATTTCTAAGAAAGCATCTTATTTGTTCATCAACTATATAGTTTGGAAAGCTATTATTAATAAGTGTCTCAATAATAAGCAAATTGTACATAATACTGCTTCTACCGATCTCAAATATATTAATCTCCTATATCGTAATCAAATGCATACTAATTATAAACAAATTTAGTAACAAATTTAGTAAATTCTAATATATCAACTACAGATCTTAGCAAAAAAATTAAATTAACCATATACTACACTAAATCTAGTATATCCAACTTAATACTTCGCAATGATTCTTCTCCCCGGTTAGCGATTTGCAAAAAAACAACATAGTTTATAAATTCAAATATAGTAAAAATGGAGATTGTATCTCCAACGAATTAAATAATATTTATGTTGGTCACACCACAAACTCGCTTTCACGACGCTTGACACTACATTTGAATGAAAACTCTAACATTTTTAGGCATTTAAAACAACATGCCTGCCCGCACACACAATTCCGTAAAATACTTGTCGAAAACACAACTATACTTCGACATGAAAACAATAGACAAAAACTAAAAATACTTGAAGCATTATACATCAAACAGTTAAAACCCAACATAAAGAAAATCAATTATGGCATCTCTACAAATATTCTTAAATGTCTATAATTGGTAACAGAAGCCATTGGTTTATACCAACGTCTTTCCTTACTTCATTCTACAATTCACTCTCGTGTAGTCATGTGTGACGTCATGAGATGCGGTGCGATTTTCGCTTCTAGCGTCTTATATGCGCGTGTTTATCGTTGCTTAGTGATCAACTATGTAAACAATGACAGACTATCATCACTGTCGTGTCCGTATATTGTTTAATATGTTTGTGATTTACATCTTTGATAATGGCTTAAGTAAGCCGAAAGCTTAGATTATATTAAAAAAATATGGATCAATATTGTGAATTTCTTTCTTCGTTTAATGATAATGTTATCAAACTTATCAGATGTTACGAACAAATTTTACATAAAATAAATAGACAACACTTGTCTATATTATTTAATGAAACGTGTATAAATGTATGTATGTATATATATGTGTGTGTGTGTGTTGTCTTTCGAAGACAGTACTGTTTCGCTGTATAACAGCTACTCAGTGCGTCTAGACAACCGAAAGCCTCAAGCCCGGATCGAAACCCTACCAATGAAAGCGGAGTCCTTAGAAATCCATAGGTAATAATTTATTTCACGGGATCAGACGCCCATCTCTTCAGACCCAAAAATTTTACAACAATAAATGGATTTTAAATTTATTAAAAAAGAAAAAGAGGATAGAAGAAAGAGAAAAAAGGAAAGAGTTTAAAAAAGAAGAGGGTAAGACAGATTTCAAAATAAGTTTTATGTTTATAAGGTAATGGAAAGAGAGAGATTTATAGAGATGGGAGGAGGGAAGAGAGAGTAAGTGAAGGAAAGAAAAGGGCTAAACACACAGTCAACGGGTTGACATAGAATATTCTTACTTTTCCCCGGATATGAAAAGTAATATATATATATATATATATATATGTGTGTGTGTGTGTGTGTGTATGTATTATGCAGTGTTACATTAGAACATGCACATGCCCACTACAAAACTATACATCTTGTTTCAACGTTAAAAAATCGCATCGTGATTCCCCATTGAAATTAAGGTTCTGAACGCTGAAAACTTACTCTTCATTCTTTTACATTTGGTTATATATATATATATATATATATATATATATATATATATATATATATATATATATATATATGTGTGTGTGTGTGTGTGTGTGTGTGTGTGTGTATAGATAGATAGATAATATTAGTTATTAATATGCATACATATATATATATATATATATATATATATATATATATATTCTCAAGAGGATAGAATCCAGGTAGAACTCAATGTCCAGGACAGAGTAAGAATATAATATAAAATGCTCAAACACTATTATTTCATGGTTATAATTTATTAGATTGGAATCATAATCACGATTCAATTCATCTGACCTACAAATTCAAAAAGAAATCGGATTGCACACACACACACACACATACACATATATATATATATATATATATATATATATATATATATATATTGGTAGGTATAAAATTCAATAGTTTTGAGCAGTTTCATGATTTTCCAGTGCGTTAGTGCCAATTCTCTTTATCTTTCCATGACTTTTGGCACGTCAATGCATAAAGTTTAAATTCTAATCTGATAAAAGCTATTTCGAGTGCATCTGTGTGTGCGTGCCTGTGTGCACATACGGGCGACTGTGTATGATGTGTGTGTGTTTGGATCATGTAACTATATGACCGAAAATTGTTAAGTGTTATGAGACTCTATCAAATGTCCTTTCATATGCGGCCACCACGGCATAATGCTTTTCTAAGTTGGACGCAACCCAAAAATATATCAAATTATACTGACGGCACTGGTTACAGTGTCATCTGAACAGATTGTTGCGGGCAGTGTGGCTCGCCCTAACAAATCGATTTCATTGTTGCCTACAAAGAATTCGAAATATATATATATATATAGCAAAAAAAAATGCCTGTTCTGTTTGCCTGGTCCAGATAATGTTATTAATTCCGTTTTAACAACACACATTATCGTGATTCGAAACTCGCCCAATTACTTTTGCTCTCCGACGTATCAATGACCTTAACATGAAGTCCGTTCGAGAAAAACACAAAGTTGTGGAGTCTCCCAAAAGTCGGATTTAGAAAAGATTCTATTTTCTTTTCATTATCGTAAACATTTTGTTTCAGAAAACATTTGCTATCAGAAAATACATGGATAGCGTTTTAGAGGGAATCAGACGTGAACACTTCGACTTGGTTAGCAAGCTTCATGCACTAGATCCATTATGAGTAGTGAGTGCTTCATACCTGCAGCATTGTGCCATATCTAAGCGACGCTTAATAAGTCATTATTGAGTAAATTGTTGTGATGTAATGTTTAGCAAACTACTTTCGCTGATCAATTTAATTTGTAAGAAGGGAAAAAAGGTAAATGATATATTAAATATTACAAAAGGAATCCAGTGAAACAGTTGATGTAAGCAATAAAGAAAGACAAGCACAAAAATTAACGCTCAAACACAAACTATTCTTCGAAAAATACAAAATCTCTTTCAAAAACAAGTCCTACAAAGCAATGGTCACAGAGATCTCCTATCCCTCTACCAAAAACCATTAAAGATAGAATTAAAAACTTATCTCCTAAAAAAACTTAGAACCAACCAAACCAAACCAAAACCAGAAATTCACAGTCAACAAATACCTACACAAAATAGATTTGAGAAACTATAAGAAATGTAAATGGAAATCTATAACCCACAAAAGGGCAAAACTCCAACCTCGAAAACCTCCCAATCGGAAAATTAAATCACGGCAACCCACATCACATACAAAGTTAAAAAAATGACTAATCCTTCAATGGAACTGCCGCGGAATAAAAGCAAACATATACGAACTGCTTCTGCTAATAACAGACCTTCCTTAAACAAAATGACAAACTTAACATAAAAGAATACCATTAATCATTAATTTCCTATGCTATCCATTATTTTACATGGATTTCTTTTGAAAGATATCTAGCAGACAGATGTAGCGTCGATTACTTGCCAATCGTCCGTCAAAACTCAGCAACTTTGCGATAAAAATCCTCTCCGTTGAAAAGACCTTCTATATAAATGTATACGTTCTTTAATTTTAACTGTTCATTTAACACTGCCTAACACTGGTCTTCGAGCGTCAGGTGGTATATTCCATCCTAGTTAAGATTGGTGTACCTCAAAGTAATATAAATTTAACAACAATTTTACAAGCGTCTGTTGTTAAAGTAAACTTACACAGGCCAATAAATATCAACTCAGTAAGTATCCCACCGAATGAGTAAGTAAATAAAGCTGAAATTCCTGAACTTATAAGACAACTTCTTAACCCTTTTATGATACTAGGGGACTTTAACTGTCACAGCACCATGTGGGTTGTAAGGACACAAATCAAAAGGGAAGGACCTTAGAACAAATAATTATTTAGAAGGATCTTTGCGTTTATAATGATAAAACACCGACTTACATTAATCCATTTACTGGGAGCTAATCGGCAATAGTGTTATCTCTATGTTATCTATTAATTTACATGGATTTCTCTTGGAAGATATCTAGCAGACACATGTGGAAGCGACTACTTGCAAATCGTTCATCAAAACTTAGCAACGTTGCGATAAAAATCCTCTCCGTTGAAAACAAGCGTAACGAACTAGAACGAATTCAAAATCTAATATTCTGAAAAACAAGTAAAAGGATAAAGCATCAAGGACTTAAAACATTTCACGAAAATCCTCATCTCTATAATTAAAAAATGCATTCTAAAAATTCATCACCCCCACAAAAAAAACAACGCAACAAACCTTGGTTCAATGATAAATGAAAAAAGCCATCAAGCTAAGAACAGCTTTGAGAGAATTCAACAAACAACTTGCAACCTCTAATTTTCTGGAATTTGAGTTATCCCGAGCAAATACAAGGAAAATAATTAAAGAAACCAAAACAGAATACTGGAAAAACTACGTCAACAGACTTAATTCAGCTACAAAAAAAAAAGATCTGTCTGGAATATGATAAAGAAAATATTAGTCAAATACCAAAAAAAAAAAAAAAAAAGAAAAAGGAAAAAAAGAAAAACGAAAAGAAAAACGAAAAAAGAAAAAGAAAAGAAAAAGGAAAAAAAGAAAAACGAAAAAAGAAAAAGAAAAGAAAAACGAAAAAAAGAAAAAGAAAAGAAACGAAAAAAGAAAAAGAAAAGAAACGAAAAAAAGAAAAAGAAAAGAAAAACGAAAAAAGAAAAAGAAAAGTAACAAAAAAGAAAAAGAAAAGAAAAACAAATAAAGAAAAAGAAAAGAAAAAGAAAAAAGAAAAGAAAAAGAAAAAAGAAAAGAAAAACGAAAAAAGGAAAAGAAAAACAAAAAACAAAAAGAAAAAACAAAAAAATGAAAAAAAAAGAAAAAGAAAAATAACACTGTAAAACACGTCTCGATAAATAATTCTAAAATAACAAGCAAAAAGGATATCGCTGACCAACTAGCCAAAACAATCTCAAAAAATTAATCTGCCAAGAATGGTAGCCAACAATTTCTAAAGTTCAAACGAAACATGGAAAAGCAAATACTAAATTTTAAATTAAATAATGCAGAGAACTATAAGCTGCCATTCACTCTAGAGGAACTAAATGAATCTTTAAAGAAAGTCCACAATACAGCTGTAGGCCAGATAATATCCACTACGAATTCATAAAACAGTAACTTAAATAATAAGAACTGTTATTAAAAATGTATAACAACATATGGAGAAATGGCTACTTCGAGAAATGTGGATACCGTCATTCATTATCCCTATTCCAAAACCTGGAAAGACTAATTCGGACTCTGAAAACTACAGATCGATAGCATTAACCAGTTGCCTATATAAAACTATGTAGAGAATAGTCAACAACAGGTTGGCTTGATACCTGGAAATTAAAGGCTTAATCAGTGACTTCCAATGCGCTTTTAGAAGAAATAGAAGCACTATGGATCACTTAATAAGCATAGAAACCTTTTTAAAGGAAGCCTTCATTGAGAAGGAACATCTTACGACAGCCTTTTTTGATTCTCCAAAGGCATACGGCACTACATGGAAATTTGGTGTCTTGAAAGGCCTGCATGAATTGGAGCTAACATAATGTTATTTGTTTAAAAAGTGGGCCTATACCAAACAGTATTAACGAGAATGTCAATAAAACCCTTTCTTCTACAAACTGTATATCTGAAAAGAATACATCAATGAAAACGAGACTTTCGACAAAAAAGCCTCTTTTCAAAAATACGTCAATGAAACCAGATCTTCAATCTGATATCTTACAAATAATACATATTCTAGTCCTACGATCCTATCCTAAAATCCTTGCCCGCATTAAATAACCAATTGAGGTTAATATGCCGTAAAACAAAATAAACCAAAACAAAGAATACATATTCTATTCATACGAATCTATCCTAAAATCCTTGTCGGCATTAAATAGCCTATTAAGGTTGATATGCCGTAAAACAAAATAAACCAAACCAAAGATTACATATTCTATTCATCCGAACCTATCCTAAATTTTTTGTCGGCATTAAATAACCCATTGAGGTGTTGATATGCTCTAAAACAAAATAAACACATACATATTCTATTCATAGGAACATAACCTAAAAAGCTTGTCGGTATTAAATAATCCATTGATGTTGAATTTTACTGGGTTTAAACGAAAATTACTTACACCATATAATACGTATTACTTATAATAATCCCTTCTTGCTGTCAATTTTAACGTCACGGGTACACTAGTATATATATATATATATATATATATATATATATATATATATATATATTTTTTTTTTTTTTTGTAGGAGTAAATAGCTTCGTCTATTAACCGGTTTCTCCTCCGTCTTTTTAATAGTTTTTTTTTTATCCTTTGTTTTCTGTTTAAGTTTGGGTTTTTGGTTCCTTCTAATGTTTTCTAATTTTCATTCACTTCCAGCAATCCCTTGTGTCTTAGTAACGTTATCGCTTTGCTTGGGGGGAAATAATTAAAAAAAATAATTTCCAAATACATTCTTTACAATGTATTCTTATAATAACATTGTTTTCTATGTATTAATATAATAACATAATTGCAATTAATATCCTTAGACTGGAGATAAAGAGTATCTAAAAATTGCCCCTGTTAATTTTTAACCATAACAACGAACTACTTTAAATTACGAAATTGTACTTGAATTAAACGAAAATTACAATATGATACGCATTGTTTATAATATATTCATTCTTGCAGTTAATTTTGATGTTACGGTTATACTAGTACAATAGTAATTAACATAATCAACACAGATCGAACAATACAAGCAAATTGCGCAGACATTATTATCAAAGAAAAGAAAAAAACTTTGCGTACTGATTGACATGAACTTAGATATTTGACTGTGCATTGCTGAATTTGATTTTAAGTCAATAAAATACCTAATGTAAATAAACAGCTTTCATATCACATTTCTGTATTGTGATAAATTTCTGTTTGTTCTGAATTAACACAGTATATATATATATATATATATATATATATATATATATATATATATATATATATATATATATATATTAAACAACATTTACCGGCCTGAAAGTCCGAGAAATTTTCACAGAAAATATTCGTCCTCAAACCTGTATCCTATACAGAACCGTCATTTTGCTTGACGTGCCTTTACCGATTTGGCCACAGAGGAGCGTTCGGTTAGCAAGGTCGAATTTACTGTATTTAAACTTCAATCTTCAATGAATCTCTCACGTACATTCATATCTGCTCATGGCGTATCAAATGTAAACAAATGACGTCACACATTATGAAATGGACAAAGTCCGACAATTATTTTAAGACATTTTTATGTTTATACATTCTTTTTATAGATACAAATATTTAAGTAAATGCTCTGTTTATAATAAACAGTATTAAACAATATTTACCGGCCTGAATGTCCAAGAAATTTTCACAGAAAATATTCGTCCTCCGACAGGATTCGAACCTGTATCCTATACAGAAAAGTCATTTATAGATAGATAGATAGATAGATAGATAGATAGATAGATAGATAGTACAGATAATAAATCCGTTGGTATATAATCCAAGTGGACCCTAATAATATCAATTATTAAAACTGATCCAAAAAAAGAGCTCTTAGTAACATTATCGCTTTGCTCGGAGTGAAATAATTAAAAAAATAAAAATTAATTCCAAATATATTCTTTACAATGTATTCTTATAATAACATTGTTTTCTATGTATTAATATAATAACATAATTGTAATTAATATCCTTAGACTGGAAATAAAGAGTATCTAAAAATTTGCTCCTGTTAATTATCAACGTGAACAACGAACTATTTTAAATTACAAAATTGTATTTGGATTAAACGAAAATTACAATATGATAATATAATATATTCATTCTTGCTGTTAATTATTATGATACGGTGATACTAGTAGAATAATAATTAACATAATCAACACAGATCGAGCAATACAAGCAATACAAGCAAATTGCGCAGACATTATTATCAAATAAATTAAATTAAAAACAACTTTGCGTACTGATTAACTTATCAAGTGACAAAAAATCTCGACGAAGTAAATACAAACTAAGCAAATACAAAATAGAGACAGAAGCAGAAAAAATGTGGCACTTTAAAGCTGTTCCTCCTGTGGTTGGAGCACTGGGTCTGGTAAAAAATGAACTCAAGAACAAGTCAACGAACTCCCTGGAGCACAGACGACATCAGGCAAAGATCTTTGTCCATTTAAATTTATTTATTAAGACCTCCCCTTTATCCTGTCTCTTGTTGCTCTTGATAAGTTTGTCTTTTTAAAATTTTCCCAAACCCTGTTCTGCCATCCATTTGCTCAAGCCCATCAAGTATGTTACGTGCTGCATTCCTCTGTACTTATTGCCCTCAATCTATCCCGTGTGTATCAGATTTTCCATGCCCTCCTTCCTCATCACATGCCCCAGAAATTTCAACTGCCTCTTCCTGATTTTCATTTTTGTTTCCATTTTCTCCAAAAAAACTCGTCGTTGTTTATATGTTCGGTTTATGGTATTCTCAGTATCTTTCTGTAGAACCGCATTACTGTTGTTTCAAGTTTCTTTTTCATCTTCGAGGAGATTCTCCAGCATTAATGAGATCTCGACACCAGTCTAGTACTGGGTTCAAATTCATAAAATCTAGGTACGATAACTAGAGCTCGCCCAAACAATTATCATGAAAGTATTTGTAAAAAAAGACACAGAGAGGCAACCTTGCGACGGTGGGTAAAAGACTGAATCCGAGCCGCCAGATCAGGACCAATAATATTGCTGATTCTTCTTGGATTTTATCAAAGGAGCTCAAGGTAAATAAGTATGGACGAATGGTTATCTTATAGATATGTATGATCTCATTAGTTGAGCTGGCTAGATGTAGCTGTAAGTTCCATGCTAACATTTTATTTTCTCGCACTTCTCGCTTCTAGAATTCCCTTCCGGCTCCATGTTTTTGAGCCAACTTAATCTTCAAAAATTTAAATACAATGTCAATCGCTATTTACTGTCTTCCTGATTGCTCTTTTCTTTTCCTGTTCATTATTAATGTTTCTGTTCCTAATTCTTTCACAACCAGTAACCCCTTAAGTCTTAGTGGTTTTATGCCTGGCATAGGGTGAAATCGATTAAAAAATAGTGTCCAATATTAGAATAAAGTGATTCTTCTTCTTCTTCTTATTATTATTATTATTATTAAATTTGTTATAATATCATTCAATACTTATTGAAGGTTAACTCAGAGTAATTGTTTCAATCAGTCGTCAGGACACCCAGCAAAATGATTGTATTAATTCCAAAAATTAAAAATTTTTTCGAAAAACCAGCTATCAAATTGTGTTTGGAATTTTACATTTTAAATCTATGCTTACAATAGCTATTTTAGTGAATTTTCTATAACAAGTGAAAAACAAAAACTTTTTGTAGTCAGCTGTAAAATGTAAAAAAGGAGATGAATATCTATCTATATTTCTGAGATGAGGGCCCAAAGAGTGTGAGTTTAATACCTGGTCAAGGCGATGGAGAACATTGAGAGAGGAATTAGCAGGAGATAACTGACATCCATTAGACATGGCAGAAAGGAAAAAAAGTCTCGCACGAGACGGTAAACCAAATTTCTTAGTAGGTGATCTAGCAATGGATTCAATATAGTCTTTTCACTTCATGTCAGCTGAGAACGTTAACCCAAGAAGGTGCAATGAATCACTTTCCTAGAGGTTAGCATCAGCCATTCTGATGGAAGATAGAAAGGGGTCTCTCAGATGATTAACAGAGGGAAGTTTAGTTTTAGAGGCGTTAAAATTAGCAAGCCATCTTTTTCTCCAGTTAACAACGAACTTTTGGACGTCGGCTGCAATTTTGACCTCGTCGGACTGATCAGCCTTACGATCGAGGCAGGAGTAAATGCTTGTGTCATCAGCAAAGATAACAAGTTGAGAGCTGGTGGCATCGGGAATGACATTAATGAAAATTAAAGACAGAACAGAAACAGAAGAAACTGTGTTTAATTTGAAACACTTTTAGATAATGTTACGTATATCAATTGCTATCATATATAATTAATATAATTAATAATACAGTATATAATTAATACAAATTATATATAATTTATATTTATATTTAATTTAGAAAAACTGTAAGACTTTAAGATCGATAAAAGGAAATTAGTCAAATTAAATTGATTTTGTTCCGTACTATTTCCAAGAATACATTATTTTATTTAAAAATCGTTGTCTGGTTTGGCATTTAATTTCAACAGTGTTTCTAAAAAGAGTTCAGTTCTTGTTTAATAGCGAGAACTTGTTAATGGCAAGACGGTTTTTTTTTTCTTACAGGGTACCCCACAAAAAAACAGAAAGATATTAACTAACATATCAGCAAAATTAACTAAATATTTTACTATACGAATGAACTAAAAAATTAACTAACATACGAATTTTTTTTAACCATTTGTTGTTTCAGGATGTCACGGTTATCCAATTTTCAACGCGAGGGGCCTGTTCTCTTTAAGAAAGAACGTCCAACTTGGGGACTGAAAAAATGCCAAGAAATTTTTCCAGCGTTCTTTAGTTTGAACGCTATATTTAACATTTGTATTTTCTTTTTTAAGCTACTATATTTCTATCCTTTTCTTTTGTTTCAAATAACTGTAAAGGAAATTCCAAAAATTAAATAAACTCTACCAAATTTTTCATTTTTTTTTTTCCGGCGCGGTGTCATCTTTCGTACAAACTGCCTTCACTTTACGTCCACCTCCATGTCACATTGATATGATTCGCTCTCAATAACAAAGAGAAAAACCTGAAGTAAATTTCTACCATAGTCTTTCACATGTATCAGATTAATTCTTGGAAATTGTATCGGAACTCATCGTTTGCGGAAACAGTTGGTGCTGAAAGAATGGTAATAGCAACATTAGCCGATTCGTTTCCTTATAAGGCAACATTCGGCATTGATTGACCAAGCAGCAAGTGTTTCTCGAGTGTAGCTTTTCTTCACTGTTATCATACAATTTACGGTAACATCTACCCAGCTCGATTGTAAAGAGACCTGGTCGCTATTCTACAGGGTGCTCCACAAAAAACAGGAAATTTTAGATTTACTATATGATGAAAGAAAATTAATTCATCTATAAAAAAATAACTATATATTTTACTATATGAATAAATTAAAAAAAAAAAATAACTAACATGATTTTTTAAAAATATTTGTTCCATAATTCCGTAGTTAACATTTTTTCCACGCGAGCTGATTGTTCTTTTTAAGAAAGAACATCCTATTTGACGACTGAAAAAATGCCAAGAAATTTTGATAGAGCTCTTTAGTTTGAACGCCACATCTAACATTTGTGTCTTTTTAATTTTTTATTTTAAGCTACTATATTTCTATCCTTTTCTTTTGTTTCAAATTAATGTAACGAAAATTCCGACAATTAAATAAACTCTACCAAATTTCCTGTTTTTGTTTTGTTTTTTTTTTTTTTTTTTTTTGGGGGGAGACGGTCTATATTATTGAGTTTCCGGTTCCTTCTATAGTTTTTTCTTTCTACTCCTCTTCCACTAAGTAGCCCTTTGCGTCTTAGTGGCTTTGTCGCTTTGATTGAGGTGAATTGATTTAAAAAAAAAACAACAAAAAACAAAACAACAAAAAAAAACAAAAAAACAACAACAACAACAAATATACAAAAACAACGGGTGGCATTTTAACTTTACTTTTTTGTTACTCCGTTACACTCAGCTTAGGTTGTGTTCTGAGATTTTCTCCCCCAGCGATCTGCATCCTCAATAATCTGGTAAGGAATGGTATCTTTTATCGCGGATATGATTTGGCTCTTGAACTATTTGCTTTTTGGACAGCACATCTAAGATTTGTGTTTTTGTTTTGTTTTAAGTTACTAAAACGTTTTCATTGGTTGACGCTGACTGACATATGTCAATAAGAACGCTCGAAGTCCGACCTTCCTAGTTTAGTATGATTACTGTTTTTGTAACGTCGCGGTGCGTAGCAAGACGCTTTCAAGGAGGCGGCCTGACTCGTCTAGAATCAGGTCGGGGTTACTGTTGGAGCCGATATGATGCGAAACCCGAAATCGGCGATGAGAACAGTGCATCACTGAAGACCACCTTTGATGCATCTAAAATGTATGATTTAACTAAATTTGCTTTTGATACAAATAATTGTAACAAAAATTTCAACAATTTAATTCACTGTACCAGATTTCCTGTTTTCCTGTTTTCCTTTTTCTTTCTTTTTTTTTTTTTGTGGGGTACCCTGTATAAAAAATAATGTCATAACCGTGAAGCAACCCTAAAAGAAGTCGTTGGAAAACTGCTGGTCTTTCTGGCTTTCTCAATGGCACGTCTAAGATATTTTTTTAACTATTTGTTTTTACGGGATGCCACAGTTATCAAATTTTCAACACAAGATGATTGTAAGAACATCCAACATGGGGAGTGAAAAAAAATGACAAGAAATTTTGCCTGAGTTCTTTAGTTTGGACACATCTTTTTTAAGCTACTAAATTTCTACCCTTTACTTTTGTTTCAAATAACTGTAACAAAAATTCCGACAATTAAATAAACACTACCACATTTTCTGTTTTTTTTTTTCGGGGGGTGGGAGTTGGCGTACCCTGTATATAAAATGGATCGCTCAACTGGAAAAGTCGACAACATTCATTAACAGTTGTTTTAACGTCGCCATGTTTAGACCCTTTCAACACTTTCCCAAGGTCAAGACAAATTACAAAAAATATACGTATTAATCGGGAAACAATTAGCGATGAAGGAAGAAAATGGCGGAAAGACTTGTAAAAAGAACAGTTCATCACTATCGATTTTGCTTACTTCAGGATATGATTTAATGCCTTTATAAATGCATTGCCTATATCGGTTGCCGTCGGCCAGGCTTTTGAAATATTAATTTTTTTTGTGGGACTTGTGAGTTGTATGGTATAGAAACACATTTAAATAAAGATCAAAGTATAATGTTTATCTCATATCAGGCATCGATTCAATATTTATCAGTTCCAGACTGTGAAGGTTTCAACGGATTGTCATAGCCTAAAAGGGTTTTATTCTTTATTTTAGATGCATATATATTAGAAAATAAAATAATAAAAAAAATATGGATTTAATTTTTCGTATGTACACTTGTAGGTACACCGTATTTTATTTCAAATTTTAAAAAAATGTACACAAGTGTCAAGATATTTGCAGACGTGTTGTCTGCTAGTTTATTATCGTCTGATTTAGTGATTATTTTTATATAGTAGCGGGAAAACGAAAGAAAACGTAATTGGTTTGTTTATTTCGCTCACATAGGATTTTCTCGTGCGTATGCAAATTAAATCGTTTGAATTTAGCCACGCCTCGGAGATGCTCATAAAAGAGCAAGTTCGCGCCGTCCGAGGAGTTTTTTGGCAGCGACCCGGGAGCGTTGGTTAGCGCCTTCAGCCAAAAGGAGAGTAACGACATCATTCTTTCCTCACTAAACTCAAGAAGTCATGCCATAGGACAGCTGGGATGGTCAAGGTCTCCATGATGACTGACAACCACAAAACGAAGAAAGTAGTAGTAAGCCGAGATTTTAATGGGGGTAAATTTAAAACAAGTTCCTTAGTGGTCGCTGGAAACAATTAAATATATATATATATATATATATATATATATATATATATATATATAATAAAAAAATAAAAGGCTTAAACACTAATATTCCATGGTCATAATTTATTCCATTGCAATCGTAAATACAATCCAATTCATCAGACCTACAAATGTATATTTACCACTAATATTATTGACCTACGTATGTATATTTACCACTAATATTATCTATCTATCTATCTATCTATATCTATATATATATATATATATATATATATATATATATATATAACAGCTCTAATGAAAAGAGTTTGGATATTCTTTTTGTTCAGCTAGTAAGTACAAAAATCATTTCATTTACTTGTTCGATGTTAAATGGCTGAAAATAATCCCATAGCGTTTAAGCTTTCTGTTAGTGCAATTCAAGTAGTATTCAGTTACGTTTACATCTAACTGTAGTTCATATTGTAAATAAAGTTTCTCTTTCTTATATCTATAAAAATCGCGTGTTTTGTCGTTTGTTTTCCTTCGCTGTCTTGTTTACACTGTTAACCTTCATGCTGAACTTGTTGTCGCTTGTTCCCGAATTTTTTGTTAATACTCTATCAAGTTTCCCCACTTTTTGATGTTTTTAGTATTATTGTCCAGTAAACGTTCGTGATCGCAGGCGTCAACTTCAAATTTATTTTTTCCGATATACATATTTGTAAGTTTTATCCTGAATACAGCATTAAACAAAAACCGGTGGCGTAGCAAAGGCTCGTAAGTTCTGCGTAGTGTGGAATCCTTCCTTACTCGCAACTGACCTTATGTATATATATATATATATATATATATATATATATATATATAGTCGGTATAGATTAGCTTTGTCCAGGGAATGAATTCACTTCATGCGGCGTCTTTTTTCTTTCTTTCAGAATTAAAAAGGTCGTGACCTTTCTTTTTATTTCAAAAGATTTTAAAGAGGAAAGAAGTTAATATTTAAAAATTTTATTTACATTATTCGGACTGTTTTTCTCATCTTTATGACCATATTCACGGCGTTTCGGGCATTGTACACTCCGGCCTTTATCAGGTGATTGGAATTTCGAACTGAACCCTTTATTCCTGTCCAGCGGGACAGACTGCTCTAGTTTCACGTGCCATTCCTTTTCCGGGTGTCTCGGTTATGTTCCTTTAACTCAAATCTTCAAGTTTATGTTCACCACAGCCGTAGCCAGGGATTGAACTCTCATCTCTTTGGGTCAAGTCACTGGATCCAATCAAAGCTTTTATCCACTGGGCCATGTGTCCTTGGTGGACGAAATAAAGGTTTCAGTTCGAAATTCCAATCACCTGAAGAAGGCCGGAGCGTACAACGGCCGAAACGTCGTGAACATGATAATAAAGATGGGTGCAACAGTCCGAACAATGTAAATATAAATAATTACAATACCTTATCTCAGAAATATGGATAGATACTGAAGAAGGCCCCAGCCTACAATGGCTGAAAAGTTGTGTATATGGCAATAAATATGAGGGCAACAGTCCGAATCATGTTAATAATATAAATAGTTACAATCCCTCATCTCATAAATATGGATAGATCCTGAAGAATGCCGGAGCGTACAACGGCTGAAACGTCGTGTATATGGCAATAAATTTAAGGGTAACAGTGTGAACAATGTAAATAATATAAATAATTACGATACCTCTTTTTATTTTGCAAGAAAAATTTATTTCGTTTGAAAATCGGCGTCTGGCTTGGAATTCAATTTCGATCCTGTTTCTAAAGTCAATTTCTGTCGAATATTGAGAAATAGTCAAAAGACAAGACCAGCAGATGCTGATATGTTGGTGTTTTTTCATACGAAATGGGGCGCTCAACTGGAAAATTTGACACTATCCATTTAGTTGTTTCTGTCGGCGCCATCTTTAAACGCTTTCAACTCGATATAAGCAACGGCAATTTCGCAATATCAAGAGAAATCTCAAACAGGTGTTAATCGGAAAGCAATTAGTGCTGAGTGAAAAAAAAAAAAGGTGGGTTTTGACGAGCAGAGCGGCTTGTAATAAGGACAATTTATCGCTATCGATTTTGTGTAATTCAGGACGCATTTCAGTGCCTTCGTGAGTACATTTCCTCTATCAGCTGCCGTCGGTCAGGTTTGTAAGCTATTAATTTGGAGCGAGAAACAAGTTTAAATAATGATCAAAGTAGAATGCTTATCTCATATCAGGTAACGATTGTATATCGTTCAGTCCAAAACTGTGAAGGCTTCAACGAAATGTCCTGGCTGAATAAGGCTTTAGTTATTTATCCTACCTGAATATGAAATTATTCCTTATTCTATATGCTTATATGTTTGTAATTTTTATTGTGAATACAGCATTAAGCCACGTCTGGTGGCGAAAGATTTGAGGAGAATGAAGTCAGTCTTTACTTGCAATTATTCTAGCTGCACGCTGACCTAATGTAGCATTTTGGTGTAAAGAATTTCGTCACGGAATGAGAGGTCGGAGTTCGATTTCCAGCCGGAGTTTTTTTACATTAGCTTACGCGCAAAAACCCTTGGCTAAGGTATGAACAAATCTCATCTCCCGACAGCCCTGTTGATTAACAGCAGGACAGACTGTTTCCTCCGGTCGGCAACTAGTCTACAGCAGAAAGAAATGACAACCTACTGCGGGAAAATCTGCCTAGTCAGACATGAATCAAAAGAGACATGATTGCTCTAGCGTGTATCACGTATGGCAGTGAACTGACTGATATTTTAAACTGGATACGGATAAAAAAAAAATTAATTCAGTAAGTGTTGTGTAGGAACCTACCACCCCTCTTGAAGATGAACTCGTCTACAAACAAGGACGTTAGATAGTGGCATGTCAAAAGAGTGTAGAAGAAGTTCTGAGCTGAGTTAGTTATAGACTACTCAGGCGATATCTGTACCAACTTACCAACCGAATAAACCCCATTTTATTGTTACATGTTATTTGGCGTTTGTCTTTATTAACCCCAAATTAACATCATAACAGTAAGTACACAATAAAAAGGGACATAAAAAGGTGGTGTCTTCTCACCAGACTTTTTCAATTTTTACAATGAAGCTATACTGAGAGAACTAGAAGTTCTATCAGGATTTAATATTGGCGGACACAGTTTTAACAATAAGATACACAGATGTTGCAGTATTGATAGCAAACACAGAAAGAGAACTACAATGACTCCTTAACAATGTAGTAAAGGAAAGCGAGACTAAATATCAATTGTAGGAAGGCAGAATGTGGAATTGCCAGCAAGAGACTCTGAAGAGACACAACAGTAGCAGCAGCAGTAGCAACAGAAGCAGTAGCAGCAGCAGAAGAACCTACTTGTATAAATGGGTGACAGAACAGGGATGAGGAGAGATAACAAAACGGCAAACTTTAACTACAAAAGACAGGAAATTGTGGAGAGCCATGATCGTGAAATGTCTGAAGGGACACAGCACCTAGAAGAAGAAGAAGAAGAACGTGCTTGTATAAATGGTTGACAGAACAGGTTTGAGGAGAGATAACAAAACTTTATTAAGTGCTACTTAGGACAGGAAATTGTGGAGAGTCATGATTGCCAACGTCCTGAAGGGACGCGATACATAGAAGTGAAAGATGTGTGTGTAGTTGTGTATACATTAAAAGGAACAAGCATATTACACCTGCATAATGCATCCATACCCTTATACAGGACGCACTTTCATGGTAAATGTTCATATAAGCTTCACCTTTGGCAAGACGACTTCAAGAATTTAAGCCCCAGTACCAAATTGGCAAAGAGGTCTCGGCATTTTATTGTGGAAATTGCAAAATCTAAGCCTAACTTCCTCAATCTCATGTTAATAGTTTCTTCTGTGGCAGTTCTTACATGTGGAACTCTCTTCCGACTTTCCTGTCAACTACGATCTTCAAAAATATAAATGAATTTTCAGTCGTCATCTCTGTCCTTGTCTTTTTATATCCTTTCTCTGCACAACATTTTATCAGTCTCTTTCACTCTCAGTAACCCCTTGCGTCTTAGTCGCTTTATCGCCTTGTTTGGGAGAAAAAATGATTCAAATAAAGATATCGTGTGGCGGATAGAAAATGAACTCTTCGTTCATAATATAGATCTACTAACCAGGGGAGTTCTTTAATAGAGAAATGTTGTTCTACAGAAGGATGCTGAGGATACCAGGGACCTAAAATGTGAGCAACGACGAAGTTTTAAAGAAAATGGGAACAAAATGTAAAATTACATCAAGAAGAGACAGTTGAAATTTCTGGGGAACATGATAAAGAAAGAGGGCTTGGAAAATCTAATACTCACAAGACAGATTGAAGGCAAGAGGGTTAGAGGAAAACAGCGCATAGCATACTTAGTGAGCTTCAGTACGTGGATGGCGGTACAGGTTTTAGGAGAAATAACAAAAAGAACATTTATTAAGATTTGCAAAAGACAGAAAATTGTGGAGAGCCATGATCGTCAAAGGCTTGAAGAGACACAGTACATAGAAGAACATTCATTTATTTTGGTTGGAATTTGAACCCTGCACGTCAATACCTTTTTCAACGCCGGCAACCACTACGCTATGCCCACATCCTACTGGTTAGGATGTGGGCATAGCGTAGGGCCACTCAAGGTAGAGGTTTACTAAGCGAGATTGTTCTAAGGAAGGTGGAAGGAGGAGTAAGAAGTGCACATTATGAGGACATATAGGATTGGTACTTGTTGACCCTGGATCTTAAAGGGACCAAGATTGCTCCTTATCAAAGAAATAGGAAGGGGATGCGGCTGGTTTGCCACTGTGAACATCACATGTCAGATCCTAGCTGTGATGGTTGATTTGAATGGTTGATATTGTTTGGCGGCAAAT